ATGTGTTAAAGCAAAGCTGCTAAAGGAGCTCAACATGTGATTTTAGGGAGTGTGACTTGCTTTTAAAATGCCCCAGACTTTATATTGTTACAACTACTTTTAGAGAAATTGTACTTTTCTGTTCTGCTTTTATATTAGTTTCCGAATTGTGATTGGCCTCTCTGAATTATTTGCTTAAGTTGCAAAGCCATATACATTTTTCTAAATAAAGAAACAAATATTTCCCCTATTTCAACCATTGATGGGCGGGGGGATGTCGATGGAACAGTAGAGGAAATCTCTTCAAGCTTGAATTAATTTGGAAGAAGATATATAACATATATACAGTACATGTTACATATAAGACTGCAACATACTGCCTTATCACACAATCACAAACTAACTTACTTGCTACTTTACACATCCACTTCTTATTTATCTGAATTGCTTCTGAGTTCCTAAATGGGAAATTCTCTTTCTTAATTAACAAAGGATACTCCCTTCTTTACTCTTCTCTTGAACGCTCTCCATCCCTGGTAGGGCTGATGCAACACGTCGGAAGAGCTAGAGATATCAAGGCCAATGGGAGTTGGGATTAAACAAGAGAAGAAACAATCATGACCTTTGCATCCAAAATGAAATTGAAACTAGCAACAATGCTGTGCATGTGACTTTTATAAAAGAAGAGTCCCAAACTGTCTCCCACTAGTGCATTAGCTGAAAGTTACAGGAACGAGTGCTCTTCAGATTAGTATCACAGGGAAAAGCCCTTCCACTGAACAGTGAAAGCCACATGTTTCCAGGAGGTATCATTTCAATTTATAGCATATGAAGTAATATGCCTGGAGAGCCAACTGACTGCAAATCAGGGATGAATTAAATAAAAATGATTTTTGTATAAAGTGATGGCATCCTGAAAATAATCAGGCCATGAAGGCCTATTTGCTATATAACAGGTTTTACCAACAGAACAATAATCTCCCTATATATTCTCCCCCCTCATCTTGTTATGTATCCTTTCTCATGTATGAAAAATGCAATTTCTTATGTGTACCCAAGAATATTTGCAAGACCGCCTCCTACCAAATATCTCCCTTCAACCAGTCCGCTCCCACAGAGAGGGCCTCCTTAGGGTGTCGTCGGCCAGTCAATGCCGGCGGGCGACCCCCAAGGGGAGAGCCTTCTCTATGGCAGCTCCTGCTCTCTGGAATGACCTACCCCTGACCTACGTACAACTACGGACCTGCGCCTCTTCCGCCGAGCCTTGAAAACCCATCTATTCCATGCGGCCGGCCTGGCGTAGTTTTGATTGGGCTTTGCTAGGGGTTTTATATGGGGTATTTTAGAGCAGGCTTTTTATTCAATATTTATTGTGATTTTTATTATTGCCTGTTCACCGCCCTGAGTCCCGTAAGGGAGAT